ACCTAGTAGCGATGGCCTTCAACCTAGTAGCGATGGCCTCCAACCTATTAGCGATGGCCTTCAACCTAGTAGCGATGGCATCCAACCTAGTAGCGATGGCCTTCAACCTAGTAGCGATGGCCTCCAACCTAGTAGCGATAGCCTTCAACCTAGTAGCGATGGCCTTCAACCTAGTAGCGACGGCCTCCAACCTAGTAGCGATGGCCTCCAACCTAGGTGCGGTGGCCTTCAACCTAGCAGCGATGGCCTCCAACCTAGTAGCGATGGCCCCCAACTTAGTAGCGATAGCCAGGAAGTTTCATGAATGATCAACTACCGGCCATCTCGGGAATGGCACGGCGCACAGATGCGCACAGTGCCCAGGTCATCATCGAGTATTTGTCCGCGCAGGTGCGGAGCGGCTGCCACGTCCTTCAAGTCTTCGAAGCTATGGGAGAACACATCAGCCCCGTTACTTGGACTTGTCAGATTTTTTTTTGAGTCCGTTTTGCTCCTTGCTACTTGAGGTACCTACTGAATAAAGTAAGGGCTAAGCTGGCGTTTGGGTAGGACGCAGGATAGCTCAGGCTTCCTTAAAGAAGCGTTCTTGCCAATCATTTGGTTCCTTGAAATTTTGGAAATTTAATGAAACTTATATATATTAATCCCAATGGACCCCGCTAAAGCTGTGCGCGAGGTGAAGAGAGCAAGAAGCGGAAACTATGACATTGCATAACATTGTCCCCGTAACAAGGATGTCTATATTATGTCCCGTCCAGTGTTCAGATCTAGAATGCCTGGAAATTTATATGTCTTCTTCAAGGAATCTTTGGAAATGAGAATCACCCCATTCTGGGCTTAGGCGAACTTGGAGTCCTTTGCAGTGCCAGCCATGACTCGCATTGCAACAGCTCTCAAGGAACGGCATCCCGAGGCGACGAGCTACGAGCTACAGAGACGACAAAGTAGTGAGCATTTAAGGGGAAGTTTTTGTTTACCTAATAGCAATGCAACCTAATAGGGATGGCCTCCAACCTAAGAGCGATGGCCTCCAACAAAGTAGTGAGATGTAGTAAGCATTCAAGGGCTAGTGACTAGTGACTAGTCATTGCGTTGGCAGTTGTGGGTCGTGAGTTTTTGTTTGCGCGGTGACTAGTACAAAAAGGGTTCCTAATTATTTCACAGCAAAGCCTCTTGGTGTCTTCTAGGAAGTTGTAATTATGCGACCAAAGGCCAGACAGTCGATGACAAAAGATGTAAAAAATAGCATGAATTTCATTATTCGGTCTTCTTGTCCTTTTTGCTTCTTTCTTTTCTAAACTTATTTGTTTCTTTTTTTGCTCAGATGAAGAATCTAAGCCAGCCCCAGCCGCAACGTGTGCCCTTTTGGTACAGGTGCCATTGATGGTCTTCCCGCGAGGAGCCTGCTATGCGCTGCCAGCACTTCAGAACGCCGTGCTCTCGGAGCAGTGGCCGACTAGCCGCCACATCCCCCTTATTCTTCAGTTCTATGCAGTCGCACCAAAAGAAGCGGAGAAGCATGTGCCCAAGCCCCATCCCAATCCCCATCCTCTCCAAAAACAGGCCAACTGCTTTTTCCGAAACGAGAATGCGAACCCATCGGATTTTGCCTGCCCTGTTTTCGCCTTGACCCTTGGCCGACCTGGCCTAGGCGGGCTTCGACGTGGTGACGGCTGATTGTGCCACCGACCTGGCCGAGGCGGAGTTGTCCCTGAAGGCTGCTTCACAAGGTGCGGAGCATTATGTCGGTTATGTCGGTTGCCAAGAAAACCAATCAAGCATATCAAGTATATACACTTGTTTGGAAAATCTACATAGTTGAGTCTATTTGTTGATGTGCGTGGAAGTTTAATAGCATCGCAGAACATCACAACTTACACCTTGATAGTTCTTTAACCTACCGGACCTACCTCTTGCTGGTTTGCTGCAGGCCGCGTGGCCAACTTGCAGGGGAACTTTGATCCAAAGTGGCTCCGGCCAGGGAGCAGTGTTGAGGATGCTTCTTGGCTGAGAGCGTTTGATTTGTGTCCATTTAGATTTCGGTCCTGATGAGGGGTAAAACATGTAAAACCATCGTGGCAGTGAATGTCACGCGCGCCCCGTATGCCGGCCCTTGGCTCAAACCAGCCCAAGACGCGGCCCGAAGGCCAAGGGTGTTGCTTGATGCATGTAGAGAGGTCTCGAAGTCACAAATCATCAGGCACAGCTGTGGTCCTAGCGATGAAGCTCAACCCCTCAGTGTCTTGGTTTTGTTCAGATGAATGCATGTGTGAGCCATCGCTATTAGGTTGGAGGCCATCGCTAGTAGGATTTGTTCAGATGAATGCTTGTGTGAGCATGCCTTCGCTGGTTTCGTTCAGATCTGTGTGTCTCTGACATGATCTGACTGTAGAAGTCCTGTGGGATCCTTCAGGATATTTATCCAGCAGTCCGACGCTTTTTACTGGAAAGCGGGCTCAACCGCACTCTTAAAGCTTTGGACAAGGAATGCTCTGTGTTTGGTACATGAGTACGTGAGGGCAGTTAGAGAGAGAGAGAGACGCAGCTTTTGGCAGCCTGAGATCAGAACTTGACGCCTGAAAGCTTTGGAAAGCGTATTGTCGATCCATTTCTTGAAAGCTATTGTAATTAGGTATAAGTAGGTTACTGTAGGTTTATTGTGTGCTTGAGGAGACATCTGCTTTGGAGGATGTGCCCGTGGCCGCCTGCCCAGGTATATAATTGATGTAACTAGTTGGACTCCAATTCTTGATATGTCTTTTGATTGAAAATTCGGAGTTCTGCTTGGTTTTTGGACGGATCGATCTGAGGTGAAGCCCAAGAAGGCTAAGGCCCTGGAGCCACTGGAGCTTGTGGCTGCGTGCCAAAGCTGGCTAGATGCGCAGCGAGCGGGAGAGCCTGTGGCCCCGGCGGCTGAGCCTGTGGCTGAAGAGCCTCTGACGCCGGGGGAGCTCAGAGGATGCTCGACCAGCTGCGCCAAATCAAATCGCTCGGCACACCTAAGGCCCCGACCCAACAAGAAGAGGAAAAGAGAGGAAGAAGCAGCTAAGGCTGGGATCACGTCACATGCAGAAAGAGGAAGGCACAGCCCGTTGAAAGAGGGTCTTACCTTTCATTTTTTTGTTGCGTTGTTTGAGCCTATGAAGAGAGAATTTAACAATGGCCCATTGCCCATGCATTCCAGACCAGGCTGCTGAGGTCGAAGCTGAGCCAGAGGCCGCGGCAGTGGAGCAAGCAGAGCAAGCGGAGATGGAGGTCAGTGTGAACAAGAAGTCCAAGAAGCAAAAGAAGGCTCCAGATCCATGTGACATGTGCAGACATGACTTAACAACCAAGAGCAGATCTGCAGTGAAGCCAATTCTGCTTTCATGTTCTCAGATTTGAAGAGCGCACCAAGCAACTCAAGATCCAGTGCTCAAGATGTTTGCCAGGAAGTGAAAGAAGACAAATCAACTCCCTTCAAGCGGATTGATGACGACAAGTGGAGGTCAACGATCAAGGACTTCCCACGTGCTGCAATTTGAAGGACGTTGAACTTGAGCACTTAGAATACCTGTGAAGTGCCTGGCACATCATGGCACAAACGCATGACCTATCATGAGCCTCCATCCAGTGCATGAATATTTGCTCCTATGTCAACCTTTCAAACTCTGGATTGAGCCGGTGCATTTCCCCAGCGAGAGACTTCAAAGGTAAAGACGTCCTTTCAATGCTGCAAAACGATGAAAGGGGTAGAACATGAGACACGAAAATGAATGGGTTGTTCCTTCAATAGGCTTAATGGTTTGTTGGTCACGGAGTGTCACTGAATGACCATGTTTGGGACATGTCCTTGCTGATCCCATCCCATCATTTGCACGGCAGGGTGTACTTTGGATCCGAAGTGCTTGCCACGTCTCCACGTAGCAATCGAAGAGATACCATCCGTTCCGGCGTGCCGTCAACGGGGCGTGCCGGCGAGCGGAGTGTAGGACCCCAGGCTCCTGGACAACACGCACCTTGCAAAGCAGAAGTTTGGAGGCTCTAAAGGCGACAGCTGGGCAGACAAAGCCTCCGAGGACTTGCTCAAGACCAAGGGGAAAGGTTTCTTTGACCGCCTTAAAATCATTTTGGCCCAGATGATTTGTCAATGTTTTTCAGATTTCAGATCTCTGATCTTTGTGTACTGTAGGCTATGTGCGCATGAGAGTCTTTGGATGTCTTTGGCTTCGGTGTTGAACTCAGGCTTTCGGAAGGAGATGGCCAAGAAAAAAAGATCTTCATGGAGAGGTGGTGGTGAGATTGATCAGGGCGTAAACTCCATCAAGTTCCCTGGCGGAGTCTTCCAGTCAAGTTACCTGAAGGAGGGAGCCTTTCCTCATGATTCACAAGTTCGCGCGGAGCAATTCCGAACCGATAGAAAGGTGGCTCCATGATTATCATGATGTTTTAGTGGGTTTCAGATGCTCTTCATTTCTCGGAGTTGTTTTGCTCTCCTCTCGGTAGCATTGACCAACACAACCCTCCAATTTCCCTGCAAAGCCTAGGTTCGATGATAGCGACGATGAGTGAAGGTGACAATGATGATGAGGGCACGCGCTCTTGACTGGGGCCAGAAGTGAAAAAGTGAAGTCACAGAATCATCATCTAAGAATCTAAGATTTCACGACATTCGAGTAGCCAGCTTCATTTAGAGTTTTGTTTCAATGCTATGGCCTCTGTCAAGACATTCATATGGGTCGTGAGCTTGCCTCGTTGGCGTAAGAAGCCAGGCTCAGCGGCGTTTGCATCAGCTTCCGCTGAGAGGCTCAGCCTATCGTTCACGACCTGCCAGCCTTTGCCATGCGTTGCCCGGAGTCGAGGAAAAGCTCGGTCACTGAACTGAGACCTGGAGTTCAAGATCAACAGGAAGGGTTAACGTGCAGTGATGGTGTTCATGATGGTGCTGTTTGTTGCCCAGACAAAAGGGAAACCATTTGAACCTAGAGCCCTACCTAATGTCCTTCATCTCATGTTTCGTGACAACTTGACATACATTGTTACATGGAGCGTCCTTTCAACGGCTTCTTGGCTGCCTCCTCGGCACAATCTGGTATGTTTGTGCGTGTGCTCGCAAACGCGGCCCAGAGACCAGCACCAAGAATGCCAGTGCCCAAAGAAATGCGGCCCGGGCAGCTCATGCGACGGCCATCCTCACTAATTACTTGGCGATTGTGTACCATCATGTATATAATTAGCTTGACTGCCGAGGTTCAGCGCGAAGTTGAGGCCTGGGGTCCCCAGCGAGAGTCACAACTTCAAACCGTTGTTGTTTAGGTGACTGAGTCTCAAGTGCTTCTGCTCCTTCTGGTTCCAACTGATTCCCTTCAAAGAACATCTGCCAGGTGATGCTCGCCAAAGTGCCGACTGGGCGGCTCATTGCTAACCTGGGAGAAGGGCTCAACGGCCAGGAGAGCAGAGGTCTCAGAAACTGAAGTTGGAAATTGCCCCACCGGCCCAGCCGTAGCAGGTGATTCCCCTTGGACCGCACCCCTTCACCACACCCAGCCACCCCCGGTGGAAGGTTGGACATCGAAAAAGTTTTCCTTTTTTCCCCGAGCGAGTCCCTCAGTGGCAATCTGTGAGGGCGTTGGCCTTGCCAGCAACGCCGATCCGCAGCGCCTAACCACGTTTTTAAATGCAACCCAATGCATCGATTCCGTTGACCAAGCCGTGTATGGTCAATCGACCTCGATGTTTGAATCTGCAAGGCCCAGAGCTCGTCCAGGCCTTTGTGGATGCGGTGCATGCCTGGAAGCGTTGAGAAAAGGTTCCAGCGGTGTGGCAGTGTGGCATAGTGTTGCACCATTCCTGCTTTGTACTTGCTACATGATCTACATGGTCATGTAGACATTGAACATCGTGGCATGTTATCACATGCGTCAAGTATTTGCATGTGTTCCCTTGAGCCAAGCGAACCCTGATGCAAGTACATTGGGCTTTCGTCGCCGAAATCGTCGCCACAGTCTTTCCTGAAGCAAGTTGCACGACTTAGGAAATGACGACCCTGTTCATACACCTGCCTTATGGTGCCTCATGGGTCAGTGCGTGGAAAACCGCCCTTCTCGGCTCTGAGATTTCACCTTGGGGCGTTTCACTGCTTAGGATCTAGGAGGGCTGCTTCTCCGAGTCATGGAGCGAGGGGCCAGCGACGTCATCCATCGTTGCCCATATAACATAGAGGGCTGAAGGACGATGTTTACTCCAGAATGATGCTGAAGAAAATGGACCTTGGCCCAAAGAGTTGGAGAAGCAGCTGAAGCGGCCTTTTGCCGCTGGTGTTGAGTTGCCTTCGACACTGCTGAACATCTGAGTGTGGCCCTGTGAGCCTCATAGCATCCACTTAGATCGGCCTTTGTGCTTTCGCGGGATGCCCCCTCTCCATTCACAGGATGATGTCCTACTTCATCCGCGTCACCACGCATCACTGAACACAAGCCATGCATCCGAAGCCAGATCCACCCATGAGAAGACGATTCAGTTCAACTAAGTCGATATTTGTTTGTGTTTGCATTGTGCTGTGTCAATGCCAGCATTGCAGCCATGAAGCAGCTGTGACACCGAATGGCCCAGCACCTCAAATGCACTACAGTAAGCGTTCAGGTTTTAATGTCCAGTCCGCATGCTGTCACACTTCCATGTGATGCACATTGCATGGTGTTGTCATGGTATTGGTTTTCCTGGACTGGTACTTGAAGTACGTATTTCCCGCTGAAGCCCCAGCCTTCAAGGGGGTTTGGACTGGAAACAGCGTGTTTTTCCACGGGGTGTCTTGAATACGCAAAGTCTTTGACCATCCTTGACACCTGTTTTGCGGCCAGCTAATCCATGAGCAATTGTCCGTCGCAAAGACCGGAGATTCACGAAGTCAGGGAAAGTGAACCGCAAACTAGGACGCTACTATAGGAGCAAAGCGCATCGCTACTAGGAGCAAGGACGCTACTAGGGGGGTCCTGGCCTTACTACTAGGAGCGTTCGGACGCTACTAGGAACAAGTAGCTAAATGCTTTGGCTTTGTGATGTTTTCAGCTTCTAGGTATGCCACGTCAGCGGGATGGCAGCACCACCAAGTCCAGGCACAACTGCAGTAACTTGGGCAAAACATCTTATGCGCGTCTCATGTTCAACCGCACGAGCGCGCTTGGTTGGTGGAGAGTGTGGAAGTTATCACATGGTTTTGATTGGTTTTGGCTAGCGCGACATGTCGTTTGGCTTGTTTGAGGCAGCAGCAGCAGTATCCTCACTTGCTGTGGCCGCAGCAGAACGCCTTCTTGGCGACAGGTGTACTAAACGTTGGTAGACCTGGTAGACGATGTTCATCGATCTACATCGCAAAACAAGCAACAAGAGACTGACAGGAACACCTTGAACTACACTTTGGGGATGAAAAGGGTCGGGTAGGCAGTCCTTGCTTAAGTGTAGCTTTGTAGCTGTTGTAGTAGGCTTAGCTGTTTGAAGCTACTACTCACTGGAGGTTAAAGGGCAATTGGGTTGCTACATTTGTTGGTAAACTTAAGCTTTAGCCCTTTTGTTTTTCCTGTCCTTTCCTTCCTGTCTCTATCTAGACCTTCTTGCATTTTCTGTCACACCGAGTATCCATCAGACTCGACTTCACAGGCAGTGCCAGCTGTTGGAGTTGGCGTCCGGCTTCGCCAGCACAACCGCTGCAGAGCTTGTGGCCACCACGCTCACCTTCCCCGCCATGGGAGCCACCGGTGCGAGACCCTGCTGTGGAGGCTATGATCCAGGAGAGTCCAGCTGCGTAGCTACGCGGCTAAGTAGATGATTGTAGATGCGTTCTGTCAACATTACACCATCACGAACCCACATCCGTCATACATTGTAACCAATAATTCAGATTTCAAGAGTATTGTGTGCAAATTGTGCGTGTGTAACCCTTGGACTCTCAGCCTTTAGGCCTTCGTTTCCTTTTTGAACTATATACAATGCAGGGGGTCAAGGCACGATATCACCAACCTTGACCGACGAAGCTAGGTGATAACGCGGGATGTGGGACTTGGCCTGTCCCATGTACCCGCTTCGGTTGTGAGTGTAAATGTATGTAAATGTAGTAATATCGTCCACTCGTAAAGGTCGTTCAGGTTTCCAGGTTCGCAGTCACGCACCGGCGGTTTTTTTTCACCTAGGTTTCTTCGTGGCTTGGGGCATTCAGATCGTACGCATCATATCTCGAGCGATTTTGCATCTGTGTGTGTGTGTGTTTGTGTGATGAAACTCTTCACCCAGAATCTAGAAGTTCTTCTGTTTTGTCAGCAACTGCAAGCCGTTACACAGCCCATCCAGAGCGGCTCCGCGCGCCGCCAGCCAGCGCGCGCTGAGTCCCAGGAGCTTGGCATCACCGCCTCCGAAGAGAAGGACTTCGCATGGACCCGTGGCCGCAGCGGCGAATCTGCCGCTTTCAGCGGTTGTTTTGGATCTCTTAGTTTGGCGTGGTTCCTTCATCGTCATGTGCCGGATTCTACCAAGTTGTGTCACTTAGTTTCATTCTGGAAGCTAGAAGAGTTCAAAGTGGTCATTTCGTTGCTGGCTCAGCTGGTGCATTTCGGCTCAAGCAGCCTCCTTTTCGACCAAAACGTCCCATTTCCTGCTTCAGTCATGATCAGGTCGGTCATTGTTCCTAGTAGCGTCCTTGTTCCTAGTATAGTAAGGCCAGGAGCTAGTAGCGATGCCCTTTGTTCCTAGGTCGGTCATCCGTTCTCGTCCGCGATGGCGAGTTCTCTCGCAGGTGACGGGCCGTCCGCGGCGCCCGAAGGACATTGGAGGGGCCCGCCCGAAGGATCGGAATGGAGAGCGATGGAGGACTGAGATCGGAGAAAGCAAGAGGCGAAGTTTCTATACCAAGCTGTGGCCAAGTTCGTGTGGCTCAGGACATTGAAAGTCGCTGGGATCCAGATCAGGTTGAAATAAAGCTGTTGTCGCTGTTCTTCCCAGGCCGAGGTGTGACATGCCCGGAACCGCCAGGCCAAGCCGACCTACCACGAGGTTCCAGCACGTCATCAGCACTTCGAGAGGCGTGAGGATGCCAGATCTGCAGAATGAGCTGCGCGGTTCATGGCTCAACCAAAAACAGGCTGGACTCGGAAGATGAGCTGCGCGGCATCGAAGAGGCAGCTCTTGGAGCGAAAGACTAGGATCAGACATCATGCTTTCACTAGTCTTCCAAGAAGGTTGTGTCGCCTTTCAGTCTGTTTGGCATGTGGAGATGCCCGGAGTTAGCTGCTGTGTGAGGGGCAGACCACGTGCGTAATGGCACGGATCACTTTTGCGGGTGTTTCGGACTGATCCTGGAGGCCTGCTTCATACGATGGAGCACTGCAGCTCAGGCGATCGGACAGTGTTTCTAGTAGCATCCTTGTTCCTAGTAGCGACGCCCTTGTTCCTGCTTCT